TACTCTAATAGTCTCAAATATGGCCATAGGTGCAAAAAACTCAGAATAATCAATCCCAGATTTTTGCATAAATCCCTTAGCCACCAATCTTGCTTTATGTCTGGCAACAGTCCCATCAGCATGATTCTTCACTTTGTATACCCATTTGACAGGTATAGACTTCTTCCCAGGTGGTAATTCAGCTAATTCCCAAACCTGGTTCTTCTCAATAGCTCTGAGTTCATCTTCCATAGCACTAATCCAAACTGGATTGTCAATAGCTTCCTCAAAAGATACTGCTTCTGAGTCTGCAAGTAGGGTCATATGTTGCACCAAATCTCCTTCTTCATCAATATGTTCATCACTGAACAATTCATACTCCCTAAGATAAGGAGGTAAATTCCTGTTTCTTGGGGGTCTAGTATTTGGTACAGTTGTAGTCCTTTCCTCACTCAACTGATTTTCTTGATGGGTGTTAGCTTGAGCACCATCCTAGTCTAGTAATACTTTAGTATTGGACAATGGAACATCTTGATAATCTTTCCAAGATTTTGTCTCATCAAACTGTACATCCCTACTATAAATCACAATCTTAGTAATGGGGTTATACAGTTTGTATGAGCCAGTTGAATTATAGCCAACATGTATTAACATCTCACTCTTATCATCAAGTTTCTTCCTTCGCTGATCAGGTATGTGTCTATAGCAAATTGAGCCAAAAATCCTGAGATGTTTCACATATGGCTTTATCCCAGTCCACACTTCTTCAGGTACCTTTGAGCTAAGACTCTTAGTAGGACACCTGTTTAACACATATACTGCAGTTGTGGTAGCTTCCCTCCAGAAACTTTGTGGCAAGTCTTTGGTCTTCAGCATACTCCTTACCATATTCAGAATAGTCTTGTTCCTCCTCTCTGCTATACCATTATGCTGAGGTGTGTATGGGGCAGTAACTTCATGTTGTATTCCTGAGCTTGTACAAAACTGATCAAACTCCCCCGAGGTGTACTCTCCACCACCATCAGTCCTTAAAATTTTAATATTTCTCCCAGACTGCTTTTCCACCAACAACTTGAAGTTTTTGAAGATAGTGAAAACATCACTCTTCAACTTCAGAAGATAAATCCATATTTTCTGCTCATTTCATCCACAAAAGTAGCAAAGTACTTGCTCCCTCCAAGTGATGGAACATCAAATGGACGACATACATCAAAATAAACGACATCAAGTAGATCCTTGGCTCTAGGAGGAGTATAATCACTGAATGCAGACCTGGTTTGCTTACCTACTAAGCAACCACCACAAATTCTGTTTGGAATTTTAAGCAAGGGCAACCCTGTAACTAAACATTTACTTCTCAGCATACTTAAATCTTTAAAATTGAGATGCCCCATTCTCAAGTGCCATAATCAAGTTTCATCAGTAAGTGAAGACATTGAGAAACATTGTGAGTCAATTGTCTCCAGACTAACTTGAAATGTCCTGTTCTGAGCCATAGGAATCTGAAGCACCAACTTCCCTTTATTATCAAACTATTTTATCAAGCCCTGATCTGTACTCATTGAGAATCCTCTTTCAATTAACTGACCAAGACTAATCAGATTTGTATTCATATTGGGGACATACAATACATTTGAAATAATCACCTTCTTTCCAGTATTATCACAGATCAGTACATCTCCAGTCCCCTCAACTAATATAGTCCTATTGTCAGCAAATTTAACTCTAGTTTTCTTTGAAGAATCAAAATTAACTAACCAACCACGTTTCCCAGTCATGTGATTCGAACAACCAGAGTCAATATACCATTTATCATCAGGCTCAGAATCAACATTTGTCAACATCATGAGTATTACAGGGTTATCATCAGAATTAACCTCTCCATCACCTTCAGCAACATTTACTTCCTCATTTACCATTCTTTGAAAATCATTCTGTCCAGGGGGTGCTTTGCACTCATTAGAGAAATGCCCAATCTTGTTGCAATTAAAACATTTGATCTTCTTTCTATCAATCTTTTTCTTTCCTCCTCTCCATGGTTGAGCTCCTCCTCTCCTGGAATTGTTCTCAGTTTGAGCATTCCCTTTTTTCTCTGAATCTTGGTTTTGAAAAATCTTGGAGTTCCCTCTGCTCCTACCACGTCCTCTATTTCCCCCTCTTCCAGAATATCCTCCCCTTCTGGAGGTCTGGACCTGTAGGGCTTGATCTACAGTTTTCTCAGATATTCTTTCAAGCATTCGTTGCTCATGGGCTTCCAATGAACCTTGTAGTGACTCCAGTTTGAAGGTTTCCAACTTCTTGGATTCTTCAATCGCCACTACAATGTGGTCATACTTCTGTGGTAGGGTTCGCAGGACTTTCTGCACCATGGACTGCTCTGAGAGTTTCTCACCACAATTCTTCATAACATTGGTATGACTAACAATCCGTTCAATGTACTTGACTACTCGTTCATTAGGTTCCATACGCATCAACTCATATTGACGCCTTAGTGTCTGTAATCGAACTTTCTTGAGTTGTTTCGCTCCTTCATGACAGTTTTTCAGAATTTCCCAGGCTTCATGCGCTGTCACCACACTTGAAATCTTTTCAAAATGTGGATTATCCACACACTGGTGGATTAAGAACAAAGCCTTACAGTCCTTTTTCCTATTCTCCTTATATGCAGTTCTCTGTGCTTCAGTGGATGAGTCTGAAATCACCGGATATCCATCTTCCACAATTTCGTCAACTTCTTGATATTCGAAGATGACCTTCATCTGAACCGACGACCATCGATGCCAGTTCGAACCATCCAGTATAGGGAGATTAGCAGGAAAGGTGTTGTTGTTCATGGCGAGATTCTTCTTCGTCTTCGAATTGCACACACTCTGGAACGAAGTTCTGATACCAGTTTGTTAGAGCAGTTAACTAATTAGAACTGAATTAAACGAGAGTCAGAAGAATTCGGAGAAAATAGACTGTATCTTATTTTTCAGCCTAGTACCTTTTATTTATACAATATGCTAAAAGCACTTATTGGGCTCTTTTGGTAATTACACTTTAACAGCAACCTTAGGATTCTTATCACCACACTCAGGCCTAAGAAGTGTAGCGCGCCCTTGCATATTTGACACCACCCCCAGGCGGAGGGATGACGCGTCGCTTACGGGCGATGACCTAGCTGTAGCGATATTCATATTTCGATTCATGTCATGTGATGTGACCTATATGGTTACCGAAAAAATAATGTAACCAAACATGGTCTTAATATTTTACATTTTACTATGTAATTAATTAATTTGTAAGTTTTAATTAAAAAAACTAATCTGTAAGTTTTTATTCCATCCACATGAAGTTAAAAAAATTAATGAAGTAAGATGTGTCTTTTCCGTTTCGTAAGCATATGAAGGGAGTGTTTGCATTTGATTAAAAAAAGTGTTTTTCAGCTTTTTGCTTAAAAAAAGTTAAAAAGAGTGTTTTCAAATGACAGCTTCTGCTTAAATTGATCACTTAAAAGCTAAAAGCTGGAAGCAGGTGGAAGGGTGCTTTAAACTGCTTTTCACTTTTTCTATTACACAAAAAGTACTTCTTTTATCAAACACTACCAACTTTTACTTTTTTAGAATCACTTTTTCTTCAAACACTACCAACTTTTACTATTAATCACTTTTCCTAAAATCACTTTAAAAAATCACTTCTTTAAAGTTGAAGCAATTGCAAACACTCCCGAAGTAGTAGTGGACTAGTAGTACGTAAGTTAAAGATGTACGTGCGCCTAGCAACCTATCTAGCACTTCCGTATGTCTAAGTTAAGGGTTGGTTTGCAACTGCTTTTAAAAAAGTACTTCTCAACTTTTGGCTTTAAAAAAGCACTTATTTTCCCAAACACTATAACTTTTATTTTTCTCGCCTTCCGCGTCAAAAGTGCTTTTACTTTTTCTATTACACAAAAAACACTTATTTTACCAAACACTACCCACTTTTACTTTTCAAAATCACTTTTTTCTCAAACACTATCAACTTTTATTTAATCACTTCTCCTCATTTCATTAAAAAAAATACTTTTTTAAAAGTAGAAACTGTTGCAAACAGACCCTAAGCCTTTGACAAAAAAGAGGTGCGCCCATCACCTTTGGAGCTGCGCGAAGTCCGAGCGAAGTAGAAAAAGTAGGAAAGTGAGAAAAAGTGTGAATGAGAACATGAAAACATAACGTAAAAGTTACCATAAGTTTGAGCCTGGACAGCTGGACTGCCTCATGAGGCTTGCTCCTCGAGGGTTATATCTCATGCATGTGAGCCTTATCCCTCTCAAATTCTGAACAAGCCCAAATTAAACCCAACAGGTCAAAATATTAGTGTAGGCATTCGTTTTTTTTACAATTTTATCTAAGTAAAATTAAAATTAAAATTATTTAATCAAAATTAAAATTTGAAGTTGGCCGAGTATATTTTCCTTATTCAATAATTCAAACGAAATATCCTAAAACGGGTTACACGAACAGGTTCACATTTTAATTCAAAACCATACAAGTGTTTACAAACGATTTAAAAAATACTTTTCGCTTTTTAGTTTAAAAAGATTGAAAACGTGAAATTGGTATTCAAGTGTTATCAAGTGACATCTCCACAAATTAAAACTTTAAAAGCTAAAAGCTAGAACTTGGAAACAAATGGAGAAATGCTTTAAAATGTTTATAGTGTTTCTATTACATAAAAATACTTTTGAGATTTGCAACTTTGATCCCGTAACTTTCAGGCATTTTCATTATTATTGATCCGTAACTTAAACACTTGCAAATTTGATCATGCAAATAATAAATCTTTGTAACCAGAAAAAATGTTGTCAGTGTTGGATTGTTCTGCTGGAAAGTATATTTTCTGATGCAAAAGTTCTTAAATTGCAAAAATTTATTGGTTAAAGAACCAAATTTGCAAGTGAGTAAAATTACAAGACCAATGATGATAGCAGAAAGTTACACGACTAGAATAGCAAATCTCCCAAAGACTTTTTTATCAACACTATCAACTTTCACTTTTTTCTCAAACACTATCAATTTTCTCTATTAAACATTTTCTCTAAAATCATACAAATAGCCCCTTTTAACGATACTGTAGCAGAACTATCACGAAGCCATGTAAAAACCCATGTAAAGGGAACAACTCAAATACCCAATTAAAGGAGAATGGAAAACCCCATGTAAAGGGAAGGGAGGGGAATGTCGTTGGGAGCACTATTGTTCTCTCCTCAATTACGAACAGCCTGTCAGCCAGATAAGGTTTAACATGCACTGAAGTCCTACCACATTATTAAACTCAGTTTCGTTCTAACATACCATCTAAAAACGCAAAGATCATTTTACACTAATATATATTGAAATTCCTTGCTGCTTCAGAGCAGAAGAGATCAGCTTCCTCCCGTTCATGAGGGTCTAGGAGATGGATAAAACCAAATGGCTTCTCACTTCAAATAGATTTTTGCTGCTGATGAGGCACCACAAGAACTCAAAATCTCCTCTTTAATTTTTGCCTTCTCCCTGGACCTGAACCTTTTCGGACAACAAACAAGCACCTTCTTACATGTTGGGAAGCAAGCTATTAGTCCTGTTATAAATTGCAATTCAGATTTGGACCCTGAGAATAAGCTAAGCTTCAAAAATTGGAGAGCGTTGTGTCTGTAATGTAGATTTTGATGTCCTTCCAAATGATCGGAAAAACTTCCACTACAATCCGGGGACTCAAACCCATGAAGCTACACAAAAAAAGATGAATATGATCAACTCAGCATTTAAACATAAGGAATAACAAATTGAAACTGTGATAGGTAGTCATCACTGAATAATTCACGTGTGAAAACAAGAATTACCTGAAAACATATCACAAGTTTGCATAACTTTGGGCAACTTCGCAGCAAACTCACAAACTTAGAGTTACTATCTGAATCTGGAGAATAGTCACCTGAGAGGTTTAAGTATGTCACGTCTAACACTGGCATTTGAGGTTTGATTCTGAAGTCATCGACAACAGCCTTGCAAAGCAAAACAATGAAAATTGGATTATGTGCTAAAAGCATTTTAAATAAATGAATAATCTGCGTGAAACTTATGGCTTAGAACACACCCCAATACCATCACAACACAGATGAAGTGCACAAATAGATCCCAAATCCATGTTTGCAGGGAGAAACCCACCACCCGATTTGTCTTCTCCATTGAGAGGGTCATAGCAAAACATATCACTATCATCATCACCTCCGCTATCGCTATTGTCATTGTAATCACATTCATCGTCATCAGAGCGGGAGTCATTTGCATAATGAATTGTCACCTGTACTTGAGACATAATGAATTCAAATAGTCTCTTTTTAAATTCATCTCTATAGTCATTTGCATAGCGGGAGTCATCATCTTCATGGTAGTAATCATCATCATCGCTATCACTCTGGGAGCCATTGTCACTGTCACGATCATGGCCAATGTAACATCCTTTGATTGATAAAGTACGGAGTTTCGGGGCAGTGATGTTAAAATGAGAGATGTCTTTACATTCACTGAATATCAATTTTCGGAGCATTGGAACATCAACAACATGAAGTTGAGGACTCCTAGGGCTGAAGTCCACATCACTAAAAGAAATAGAAGTGACATTTGGAAATATGCAACGGGCCTTTATCGGGTCAATTTTAACACCAGAAGCTTGCACAATCTTTAGTGTAGGGCACTTAAATATGCAAGCAGGAAGCCTGTATTTGATAGGATCATCGCTATCTATCTCAATGTAGAGTTCTTGTACACCTTTCTTCGTTACAGAAACGAACAACTTATCAAAGTCACATTGATATACTTGGAGACTAAAACAAATGCCAAACTTTTTAATGCTTCCATTGTGCTTCTTAAGGTAATTGTTGATGGTATCATTCCAAGTGGCTGGGTCATCACCACAATCTGAGTAAATGTTATCATGGAAGGAATCGTCAAAATCAAGCTCGGTAAGATTGTACCAAGCATCTCTCAAAGCGGTGGACAAGACGGCACATCTAGCGGCTTCTCCAATCCACAATAATCCCATAATCTTGTCAAGTACATCTGCAGGGAGTTCACTTAATCTATCTGGCTCCTCCATAGTTCAGATAGCTTACCATAAACAAGCCAAATACAGAGCAAGAATTAATTTGTGTACAGATAGCCTAACTATAAAATTGTTGAACAAAAAGTACAAATTGCAATTGCAATTTTCAGAGGTATATACAGCAATTGTGATTTGGGAGTGTGCAGTGAATGTAATTATGAGTCATTTTCCGAGTAAATGCCGGAGTTGAACTGAAGATTAATATACAGTGTAAAAAAACACGAAATGCGAGGTGATATACATACGGCCTTATGGTAGACGTGCTTCAGGTTTACAAATTACTGCAGTGAAGAAGTTAGGGTTAGCCAGAGGAGTGAGGGAACGAACTTTGGAGTGAGAACTGAAGAGGAGCAACGTTGAACGTGGCGGCACTAATCTATCTATCTATTATCTACTCCCTCGGTCCCCTTTTAAATGGGACGGGAGAGGGTGACACGAGTTTTAAGAAAAGTGGGTTTGTATTGTTGATATTAATTGATAAAGTAAGAATAAAGTAAGAATGATTTTGAGCCACATAAAGTTTACCAAATAAGGTATGGGACAATTAAATAGGGACATCCCAATATGGTAAAACAGGACATTTAAAAGGGGACGGAGGGAGTATTATTTATTATTCTATTATTATTATAATCTAAAAGTAAAATAAAAGTGGGACTGCTCTTCCCGCTCAGAAATGTCATTGTCAATGCTTAGTTGTTAATTATTGTTTAATTCAGGAATAGGTGAGGGTTTAACATTTAAGGATTCCTAAAGTTTAGCCAGACGAGGGTTTGTCTTGCGTGTGTCGTGTGGATACAAGACGATTGCACACTGTTAAGATTTGGTTGGAGATATGGTAATAAGGTAATTGATTTTTCATTGGTCTATTTTTTTGGATGAGCTGGAAAGCAGCCCAGTAGATTTTCCCAGGATTTCCGGCTACATGTATAGAGATTGGCCACTTTTTGTGTAAACAGTGCCTTTAATACACGCAAGTGGGTTCATCGGCCAGTTTCATTGGCAGATATTTAGGACAATTTTTGCAAGGTTTAAAATTCAAATTTTGGTGAACAATTTCCCCCCAATACAAAAAACGATCTTATTGGTTGAATGATTTAGGATTGGCTGGCTGAGCATAGCTCTGCGGTTATAAATAGAGCAACATTAATGCTCAAATCACCGCAATTCATAGCTAGCAAAACAAACAGAAATACAAGCAGTAATTCTCGAATATGGTTGGTATGTTGTCTTTATTCCGGGAGATCGACCAGAGCAGAACAACTTGGGCAATCAAGGCTGGAGCGATACAGGTGTACCGAGAGCCGGCTCATGACTGTTTTCCGGAGTCATTGGAGTTCGTCTTTCATGATGAGGTCTGAAAGAAGGAGGTGAGGTTCTCTTAATATATGGTTAAAACTTAGCAAGGCATCTACCTATTCAAAAACTCAAAGTGTATTTAAATATCAGGCTGGATGATCACAGCAATATGTGCCCAATGCCCTGCTCAAAGTGTAAATCTTTGAGTTTTTGAAAAATTGGCATGATGTTATTATACATGTATACCTTAGGTGTTTGTGCAATCTGTGAGTAAGAATAATTCTAGAAAAGTTTGTGTTTAGAAAACGAATAATTCTGTAAATCTGTGAAAGGTTTACAGTTTTATATTGTTTGGAAAAATAAATGCTTTCTGTTTATGCATGAAAATCTTTATGCATGTTAACTCACGTTAAGGGTTTGAGCATTATTCGAATAATAAAAATTCAATAATGGTGTGAAAAATAAATGCAGTGCAGTTAATCAATTTGTAAAGCTTTGAGTTTTTTAAAAATGGGCATGATGTTATGCATTCTGTGAATAAAGATAAGTTCATGAAAAGTCTGTGTTTAGAAAACGAATAATTCTGTAAATCTGTGAGAAGTTTACAGTTTTATTTTGTTTAGAAAAATAAATGCTTTTTGTTTATGCATTCTGTGAATAGGAATAATTAAAGAAATGTTTGTGTTTATGCATTGTGTTTGGAATAAATATGTGAATAAGAATAATACTGTAAACCTGAAATTGTTCTTATAAGCACAATTTCAGGTAAAGCTATAGAAATACATCCACGAGGAAGTGTGCGTCGACAAGCGTACCTGTACACTGGTCCGGAGGAGCTCTCTGTGCCCTAAATCTACTCTGTATCTAATTATTACAACATTTACGGACTGAAATTAAGATAAATAAATAAAGAACGGGCATCCGAAAGGCAATCTTCAAGACTGTATTTTTATAAGCAATGAACGAATATCTGCAGGTTCAACGTATGATACTAAGTTAGAAATCAACAAAATTTCAAATCTTCGTTTTTTTTGCAAATTTATGAATAATGAAGAATTGAAGTTTATCATTAAAGAAAAATTTGAAAATTTGGTTGGCAGAAATCATGAATGTGCAAAAAAAAACCGGTTTTCCACAAGAAAATGTACCATATATCACCCCCGTGATTGGCTGGCATGTCCAGGGCAATTAGTTCCACCCGGGCAGTTAGTTTCACCTGGGCAATTAGTATAATGATTTGAGAAGTTCTTATAATGGTTATCATTAATAATACAGACATTTGTGGACTGTCTAGGCCAATGATTTTCACTTGGGCAGATCTTATAAATGATATACCGAGTATGTCCTAATACTACGAAGATTCAGAGCATCATATTATCATTATAATGAAAAATACCGTCAGCTGTGTTGCCTGTGTAACGCAGTGTAAATGTTTTGGTTAAAGGTTTGTCTTTTAAAAAATGTTTTCCTTCAAAGTGAAGATGCATGGGGATGGTTTTTATCAGTAAAATTTTTAATGCATCTATGTGGTTCATGAACAAATAATAGCTAAAATGATCTTCTACAGTAACTTCAGCCAATACAGCCAGAAAAGTAACTCCAGCCTTACTTTTTCTGCTTATTACACAATTCAGCACGCGAAATCAAATATTACGTGTTTGGTGAAAAAGCTGGCTGATAAGCCGAAAAAAATGGTTCACCAAATAGGCTCTAAGTTGAAAAAACAACCATTAAGGGCCTGTTTGGCAAACATTGGTTGGATTGAATCTCCTAAACTTGACAAAATTTTGGTAGAATTGCCTAGAATAAGTTGAATCTGTTGAATTGTGATATATTATACGGAGTATGAAAAATATCTAAAATTATATTCTAAAATAACTTCAACCGATTCGATCAGAAAATCAATTATGATCTTATTTATTTTTATTTTTATTATTACACAATTTAACGTTTGAAATTAAAAGGTACACGTTTAGTAAAAAAAGTTGGTTGATGAATATGATAATATGACACACCAGGATCGGCCGGTCCGGGAACGGAATTGGAACAGGACTAGGACCAGGTCCATCCCTAGGAGTAATCATTCTCTTAAAAGATTTAAATGAATTCGTACTAATCAAATCAAAGTTAAGAGCATACACAATACAACTCGGGAGTAACGATAACCAAATATGACAATCAGCTAAAGAAGCAACGAGCAACCAAAGCATGAGCCACACGATTTGCTGACCTCAACCTTTGACTTGATGTTTTAAGGATCACCTCTGACATTTAGTTTTGTTATTAATTTATATTACAAATAATTTTATTTTCATATCATCTTACTCCGATTACTATTGGTCTAAATTATATATCTATTCTTTTACTCATTACTTATAAAAATTGATCCTCACATGGTAGAAATATAATCTTTTAAAATGAAAATTACATTTTTGAATTTTTGTTCCGTGCATCGCACGGGTGAAATTCTAGTATTTATACTCTGCGGTAAAAACAAATGGTAGGTAAAACTGTAAGAGTTACCCCATTTTGATGATAATGAGAATTATGACTGTGTGGTGCTTGTTAATTGCAAACTGCTTAAGATTAACAGCTATGTCATTCCTTTTTGCTTTGATTATGTTTTCACTTACTTTTAGCAATTGTTCAGTTTTTGCTTTTTCTATAAATAATTCCAACTTTTTTTATAAACGTAAAATGCCCCTTCCTCTTAAGTTGTAGTAGACGCAGTAATTCTTGATAAAAGGGGCAATGATAGTGTAAAAAATGCTCTCTCCGTCACTTAAAAACTTCACTAAAGTTGACTGAGATATAGCATAATAAAGTAAAAAACTGTGTGATTGAGATTTGTGCAAAAGAGAAAGAATTAATAGAAACCACAAATTTTTTGCTTAGAAAGAAAAGTGACAACATTAGTTTGACAAAAAAGAAAATTGACAAAATTATAAGGAGAAAAGAGTGTGTATTAAAACTTTAAAACAATTATACCTAATAGAAATAAATGTGGGTGGGCAGTTGCCCCCACTTGCCCCCCTTTGTGCCCGCCACTGCTCCTAGAAACAACATCATGAATAATCTTATAATCCTCACATGAATGAGAATTTTGATATACGCTTATGTTTAGCATGTGGCGCTTCTGAGCTGTTTGAATGGCATCATTGAGTATATGTGTAATACTTGAGATTAGGACCGTTTAATGAATTTGAAGGACCAGTTTCCAAATATAAAATCGAGACCTCACGTTAATATAAAAAAGCTCAATCGTTTTGTTTAAACTTAAATAATGTAATATGAATACTCATATCAATTATATGAGTAATAAATATTTTTTTTTTAAATTACTCAATACTTGATTTAAAACAACATAACTCATTACTCAAATAATTTGAGTAATATAGAGGACTAAAAGGACATACAAAAAAATGATGGATCTGTATTTATATTCCTTGCTAACTATATTTTACTGATTAGTATTAATATACGGAGTATAATATTACTATATAATACTAATAATTTTTTTTAAAATGGGGCTCCACATCGGGGGGGGGGGGGGGGGGGGGGGGGGGTTGTTCTGACTAAACTATTCAACATGTTAAAAAATGCCTTTGCTTGAGATTAACATAAAAGAATTTATAGTACCACTCATACCAATAAGGTGCGTCTCTTTTTAAGTGAGCTCATCACTAAAGAACTCCAAGTTAGATATGCTCGCACGGGAGTAGTCCTATGTTGGGTGGCCCCTGAAAGTTTCTCAGGACAAGCATAAGTGAGGATAAAGTGTGTGGTAAAGGTTTGTGTTGATTTGTGAGTATAGTATCGGGTCTAGGTGACATTTATGAGTAATTGCCTTGGACCCTATGGGGCCGGGTGTTACAACATATCACGAGCTCAAAATTAAGTTCAGTCGTAGAAAGTTTTAGTTAAATAAGATCTCCATATCCCCTAGAAATTCTTCCCGGAATTATTTATAGAAATTATTTGTGAACTATTTGCGAAGTGTAATAACACTTACAACCTAAGTTTAATTACTTATAGTAGCACTTTTTAAATACCTTATGGATTCATAGTGACTTACTAAATATCTTATGGATACATGT